CATCTTAAGCCTTCCTCTTTAGCTTGCAAACGTATTCTTGGAAAAAAAAACATTTTCAACAGAAACTAATCAAAGGTCATAAAAAGAAGCCCATGGGCTTCTATTCCAGGTTTTACGATATTCAGATGTTTTTTTAAATTAAAAACTTTGCAAACTTACATGTCCAGGTTGGATGCTTTCCATTGACCCAAACAAAATCAGTAACAAATTCGGGAGTAATGTTTCTAACTAGTCCAATCCAAACGTACGTGTAGTCATATTCCTCTTTAAACGGAGTTGCTAACTCATTTATGATCACGTGTTCTTCTTCTGTTTCAATAACAACCACATCAGCACCCTTGTCTAGGCAAATCTTTCTCGATTCATCGAATGTAGCCTTCGACGGATCAGGCAGCGAAATATAACAACCATGTTTCCAGTGCATCCAGTCTGAAGTCATACAATATTGGCCATATTGTGCTGAAAATAACCAAGTTAAAAAATTCTATAATTAAACTGTAAAATAATCTAAGACCGCGCAAGTGGTAGGGGGAGTAGGGCAAAGCAGGAGAGTGATGGAAAGAACAATTTGATCGAAGAGTCATTAGCCACAGACCTTATTCCTTTGGAAAGAGAGCATGAGAGGTTTAATTTTTCCTGATGAGTGGAATCAAAAGCCGCTCTTTGTGGTTCAAAGGAAATGCCCCCAAAATCCCGGACATCGTACAGAGCTCAAATATTAATATAAGTATTGTGATTATGCTTACTATATAGGCTAATGCAAGTAAATGAATAGCATGAAAATAATAATAATAATAATAATAATGATAATAATAATAATAATCATAACAATAAATAATAATAATAACACCAAAATAATATTAATAAACTTAATGATAATGATGATAATAACTAAAAAGAATAGTAATAATGTGCTTTACCAAGATATAATAATTTAATTTCATTTATTCTACAAAAAAAAAAAAAAAAAAAAAAAAAAACTCGAAGGAGAAGCAAAACAGTAGGGAGCATTTAGCAATACTAAAAATGCAATAATAATTACTGAGGATAGGCTACTAAAATGCAAAACAAGTCAATATTGTCTTGCCTGTTTCACATAAAGCGGATTTATTCGTGTTGCATTCAATTTCGGAAAACACGTTGAGATTAATGTGAAGAATAACACACTTTTCCGATGTATATTGTGGTTGATGTAGCCAGGCTGAAAGGCAACAAACAGCTGTTATACCAACGTAAACATGTTATACCAACGTAACATAATGCTCTTAGGTTAAAAACGTATACTCTTACACTCACATCCACACACGCCCACCCTTAAGTAACACTAATAATAGAGGCCCTAACTGATATCATTAAAATCTAACTGATTAATTTTATGATGAGTTTTATACAACAGAAATCCATCGCTTACCGATTGCACTGCAGGTCTAGCATCACGATACAATTACAAGACTGTGACATTGAGGATTTGGATTTTTGACACAATTGACGTATCATACCCCTAGCATTAGTGAAAGAAATTTTGAGGGCCACGTGCGGGACTAATTGTAATAATCATTATGAAAATAGGCTACGGATTATTAGAAACGTCATTCTTAATACCAATGCAAGTATTGTTTGAATCACGGATTGCCGTTATTTAATTGATTTTAAAGTTGATTTACATTGGGCTCTATCCGACCATTCATTATCATCATTGAAATAGAAGAAAGTCTAATGGATGTTTAATATCAAAGATGCCTTTTAGGTCATACTTTGATAAAATACATTTCACATGACTTACCATTTCCATTTTAGTTAATTGAATTGTGCATGATGAAAAGTAGTCGTGGCCACCTCTTATTGTCCATGTTATTTAACCGGTTAAAATACTGGATTTTTAAATTGTTTTGCATAGTGGCAGTATGTAGTGGTGTCTTATGGATGGCTCTCGCTACCGGTATTGAATGTTTTCTATTTTGTTGGTTAAAGATTGTGCTCCACTAAACCAGATGGATGGTTCTTGTGGAGTTCGTTGTTGTGGAAGAGATTTTAATTCTAATACAATATTAATGCTGCTGACAGCTCCATCTGGACCATCTAACAGCTCAATCTGGACCATTTTTACTAACCTTTGCCTCATGTAAGGCATGCAAGCAAAGCAAGCATTTAGACTGGGGCCAGGGGGCGCCAAGGGCCAAAAATGGCCCTTTAATTTGGATGAATTCTTAGTTATTTGACAGGCATGACGCTACATGTAATAAGATTTCATAATTGTTGTAATGTCCAAGTCGAAGTTTCTTCCACGTAGGCCTACGATCTCGGTGAATTCCAAACATCATAAGGCTAAAACAGGGGTGGCGCCAGGATTTGCCCGAGGGGGAGGGGGGCCGACGCCTCCGACGAAGGGTTAGATTTCCCTGACGAAAGCAAAGTGGGCGTGGTCAACCTTCGATTTAAAGGCTTCGAAAGTGCTGGCGCCACCCCTTGGCTAAAAGTATGCTTATCAGTGATGAATTAACTACTTAGTCCTAAGTTGTGGACTATACATCGTCCTTTTTAAAAATTATTTATGAATACTAAAAATAAAAAGTGTTTACATACCCCTGATTGGCATATAACCAGGGAGTTGGTATAGCTAAGACCTAGCCTAGGAGACCTGGTCTACGCGCAGCCTTTCGTAGTAGGCCTTGCCTAGTGTGGGTGACCGATTACTGTTGGAGCACATGTTCACATGACAATAAATTTAGGCCGTGCACGAGACACAATTGGTTAAACTGTGATTTCAAATTAATAATGTCGTGTTAGTCCTGATGTACGCCTCATGCAATCACCAATTGGCCTACATCATTTAATATTATTCAAATCACAAACTGATTAGGTCAGTAGTATACTACAGAAATCCAAGGTACATCGATTGTACTGGTGGAGGTCCTATTACGATACAAAGGACTATGAGATTGAGTGATTGGATTTTGGGCACGATCGACCCATTATACAATTTTAGCACTAACAGATACCTCATTTCATTAAAAAATATACATTGGAATGTTCGCGGTGTTGGGAAGATCGGTTTATCATTATAAAAATATAATAAATAATAATAATAATATTATAAAGCCACCTTTATTCCCATTAATGTATCATTATTATATAAACCATAAAAATTTACATAAAATCAATATAAGAACATAATAAATTAATCTCAGTTCTCCTACATATTTTCATTTTCATCTTATTTTTTTACAAATAATTTATTTTCATTTAACACTTTTTAGTTTTTTTTCAAATACCTTTGTGTTCAACTTTAAAAAAAGATTTATGCGAGTCAAAAAAAAGTTACACCAATTGGGATTCACACCCGAGAGTTTTGGCTGTCTATGCAGACGCCTTAACCAACTGAGCCAATGAGGTCTTGTTAGGAATTCAAATCCGATTTTAAAGAAACTAATTCAAATAAATCAACTTAGATATAACTCTCAACCGTCTAGCAGCAACATGCTCTAATTATATACAGCATACCAAAAGGTGCGCGCGCTTCGTAGGCTTACCCTCTAGTGTGTGGACGTCGCTATTATTTTCGATAAAATGAATATGACAACTAAAAGAAGATAAGTTGCATGTTATTTGTTATCTCGTTCAGTAATTTCTTTAGTTAAGTAATGTTAAAAATGCAACAGAGGTAAAATCATGATTTATGATTTACATAGCATGTTGCCTGGACTTAAACAAATAGCAAATTGCGTTTAGATACAGGTTTTAATAGCTGCGTTTAATGTCATTTCACCTAACATAAAAATATTTAGAAACAACTAAGATGATATGAAACATCAGTAGTGTTAATTTTGTATGGAGAAATATCTATTTCTCACCATTATTTGCCTTGGAAAACATTTTTGTTTGCAATACAATAAACATAATTTGCAATAGGTAGGCCTACGATACAACATATTTTGGTCAGGGGCAGCTAAAGGAAAATGTTACATTGAGAAACAGAAAAAAGACTATGGTTGACGAAAATCGAGTGTGTTTATCAACCGACTGTGCCTGAAAACCGAGTGTGCTTGAAAATCCGATGTGCTTAAATGTTGCCCTTTTGGCGTTCCATATAAAAAGTATAAAATAACTGACGGTAAAAATCAATGTTTTTCTCTCAATTAATCTGATCGACATTTTGATGTTACAGTAACTTTTTCAGACCGGTAGGTTTTGAATCTCAGACGTTTATTAAGGACCTCGGTTTTGCATTTGCTTGAATAAGCTAATTATAATACATTTTCAACAATAAAAATAGGAATCTGAAATTGTTAAAAAAGTTGTTCCAAAAATAAATACATTTTTATTATATTCTTTATATATAGCTTGCAATTAAAAACTGAAATGAGAACATAACGAACGTGCAATGTAAAGAATACCGTTAGTAGTCTGTTGTCTAATGTTATATTTTTTAACTTTGTCATATTTTTGGGTAAATTCTTGGCAAACATGTCTAAAAATATCTAAGTAATTCACTGATTAAGAAAAAAAAAGGGTGCCAGTTTTTTTTTATTCACTTCAAGGGCCCATTTTGAACAAAACAAAATTGCAAAAAGATCATCGTTATTTATTTATTTATCATACAATAGTCATTTTAGTTTATCTTATATCATATAAAGGTATCAGTGATGCATTGGAAAGAAAATAAGAGCAGAAGACATAACCCCTCCCAAAAATCTTGCTACATGCTTATTCTGCTATAAACTCCAAGACTCAGTGTGAAGTGATCTATACGGACATGGCTAAAGCAATTTCAGCTATGTTAATTATTAGTTGAATGAATGAAAATTGGAATAAAAATTTATATATGGGATATATGTTTACGTATGTGTATGTATGTATATATTGATACATATGTGTTTGATCGCGTATGTACTGTACGTATGCTGTCTCTTATACACATCTAGATGTGTATAAGAGACAGGTTGTGTACTATACATTAATAAAATGTTTAAACACTCTTTAATACCAATAAATCGGTTAAAAAAGGCGCCCGTTTTTAATTTCCAAATGGAGGCCGAAGGAGTAATTAAAAAAAACTGGCACCCACACTTTTCTTAATCAGTAGTGTTTTTAGAGTTGTTTTAACATAATTGCCAAGAATCTACCCAAAATTTTGCTTTTTCTACACCAGACAACAGACTATAACATAGGCTCTACTCCTTAAACCTTAGATTATGTGAATAGTAATCAATTAAAGGAATTCCTTAACAACATTTATATTCCTATTATTGATTAATTATTTACTATAGAATGTAGTAAAACGTATCAGCAGGCTCCTAACCTCTATATGATGAAAATTCTCCAGTGCCAAGCCATCGGTACTTGCTGAAATCTGGGCTATTATGTAGGCCGACATAAACGCTATCATTTATCTTTGAATCCTGAAGTCTTGTCGCAATCAAATCCCTTTCACTACCGGAGCTTACAACCACAAGATCACCACCATTCTGTTGACAGATTGTTCTTGCAGCAAACCAGCTCATTGGCGTAGTAACTACCAAATAACATCTGTCATTCCATGTTTTCCAAAGGGATGATGGGCAGTGAGGTGCGGCTATAATGATATAGTAACAAATAGTCACACATTTTAGAACATAATAATTACCTTACTTTTATTGAATTAATATATCTATTTTCCATTGTTGCTCCTGTAGGGTAAAAGGCCTAGGATTATAGCACTTTTGCAGAAAAAGCTGGATACTTAAGATTATTAGTAATTCTGCTCCGACTTAGCCTACTTGAATTACCTATTTCTTTGTTACCATCACAACCTTACTACAGGCTTCAGTCCAATGATTGTAAACTAAAGCATTCAAACAATAATTTGGCTTTTAGGTAAATGGATTGTATACAAAAATACGTTTGCTTGGGTTTTGGATAATGGAAGGCATATAAGAATGACATTTTCTGTGCTTTTAGATAAATAGAATGAACATAATAATTAGGTTTGCTTGGTTTTTAGATATATGGAAGGTACTGCAGTAGAGTAGCACTTGTAATAGAAATCCTGGGCCACTATAAAAGGCGGATTTTTTGTTAGGGGTTGGAGGCAATTAAGAATTTCAGAAAACAATGTTGATAATTTTTTTTTTTAAATTTAGGCCAAAGGCTTACTATCCTATTATTTCATAGTCATACTTATATACGTATAATCATAAAATAATGTGTAAAACACATTGGCAAGGAATGAACTTTATAAAATCTGACCTTTATTGTATCCCATGAATTCTATTACGGTTATTATTATTATTATTATTATTATTATTATTATTATTATTATTATTATTATTATTATTATTTATTCGTAGTTAAGAATACAAACTGGTAATAACTCTCTCGACTTCTGTTTTGCGCCATGAGCATCTAATTGATGGATACTGGCGCATTATAAATGTACACTAATATTATTGGGCCTATTATTAAATCAACGGCAAATTCAACGTTTATGTTAAGAATTGACAAAAATTATCATACTAAAATTAAAACAAGTTAAAATATTGATTTTAATGTCATTTGTATTTGTCGTTACAGTATGTGTTAGTATGTAGAGTAGTGGGCCATTATTATTCAATAAGATGGTTTTATAATTAGAAAATGGGTCCCTCTAACAGAGTACTGGGTTTTTATTAAGTTCTACTGTAATAGCCTAAACACAATTGCTTGGCTTTTAGATAAATTGAACCATTGTCTAAAAAAGCACTTTACTGGACTTAAGCTTATCTTAACCTTGGAGCAGTTTTCCATGAATTTTAAATGTTAGGCCTACGTGTTTTTGTGGCTATGAATGGAGTGGTCAAACCTACTTGACTCTATATAGGAGTGTAGGTCTACACTGTCGTTTATGGATATAGTAACTTAATCGAAATAGTTCCGGCGGTTGCTTTTTGCGATGCTTCTGCTATATCGCTCAACTACCGAAGTCACTCAAGTCTGCAACACCTACACGCAGTTGCTTACCTAAAACGGTCTGTCTTTAAATACAAATAACTAATATGAACAACATTGCCTAACTTTAGTGACAGTTCAAAATCACTTCATTTTGCGAGCCAGCGCCCCTCACCTAGTCATCGAGCCCCCCCTACCTTCACATCTTTCCTCCCTCATCAGCCCCCATTTCAAGATTCCTAGAGACGCCACTGTTCAGTGATGACGAACATTGCTCTTTTAATGTAATTATTCCTAAGATTCTGTAAAAAAAATATGGAAAAATAAATAAATGGAAAACTATGTACTTACAATGCACACAAACGATGAGCCACAGGAAAGCAAACTCATAAAGAAAGGCAAATATAGGGAATATCATGGTTTAACAAACTGAGTTGTAGTAGCCTTCCAATAGATTCCACAAAAACACTCTCCAGCTTCTTTTTTTTCTAAGCAAAACCTTATTAAATAATTTCCGCTAGTGACAGAACGTTATATTTATTGGTACAATCACGTGACACCCAACAAACACATACTTTGACCTGTGGTAATGGTAATAAATCAAATGAAATGAAGATAAAAACAATAAAAACAAAAAAAAAAACCAATATAATTATGGAAATGTAGTATCCATAATTATTACAATATTACTTTTTGTATATTATATTTCAAAAATTATAATAGTATTTTCATTATTTGAAATCACATCGACAGTGTCCTGAAACCTTGCTTTGAATACAATTTAAGGGTTGTGTTATATTATCTTGTCTTAAAACGAAACTAGTGCCTTGCCAGTGCTGTTTAATGACACGATGCTAATAAAATTATGTAAATTTTATGGCAAAATAAATGTTTCAGTCACACTATAATATATTTAAGAAATATTTAAAAATTTGCCACAATTTCATATTAAATATAAAAATTTGCAAAACCCCATCTAAATTAAAGGAGAAACTTTGATATAATTGCATAACCCTATTAGATAAAATATTTCAAGCTAAGTTTCTCACTGGATAAGGGCGCAGACGCACGATGGTACACGATGAAGACGCACGATGCTAATGAAATTATATTTATTTCTTTGCAAAATAAATATTTCAGTCACACTATAATATATTTAAGAAATGTTTTTAAAAAAATCCTTAATTTAATATTGAATATCAAAATTTGCGAAAACCCCATCTAGATTAAAGTAGAAACTTTGATATAATTGTATAACCCTATTAGATAAAATATTTCTGGCTAAGTTTCTCGCTGGATAAGGGCACAGACACACCCAAAGAATTTGATCTAATGAGAATCTCTGTGTCCAATATTTTAACGTACGTTTCTAATTTTAGATACACTCTAAAATTGTTCTGTGGTAATTAAACCATGATGTAATATTAGGCAATTAGTATATTTGCGTATCATACAAGTATAAATTAATATAAAAGCAGCCTACGTATAAAATCGTTCCCTGGGTCTTAATATTCCTATTAAATTTTTAGTTTCTGTACTTTATTGGGATCCACTGATTCAAGGAATTCCTTAATTTTTCATTCATAATATTGAATTTGAAGTGACTATTACCACTTGCCAACAAGCGACGTTTGGGCGAGTGTCTGTCCTCTTTCTCCACACGTCGTATTGCAAGGTGTAAAACCCAATAGTAAAAATACCAGCCGATTTATTTGTTTAGATTTTTTGCACTAGAAGGTAAAGCTAGGTAAAGCAAATTGTGCACTAATGAAACAATTATTACATGGTTTTCAATAGGAAAATAACATACAATCATTAATTATCATATCGCCAAGTGTGCTGAGAGTTACCTAATTCTTGTTTACATTGATTTTTGTTATATATTATATATATATATATATATATATATATATATATATAATTATAGGCCTATACGTATATTTATTATAATTAATTTATACTAGTTTTGAAATGAACATGCCTATATATTTATTATACGACTATGTATAATTTTTTGGAAAATAAAGTAAATTTGTTTACGCTTTTCTTACTTATATTTATGTTAAGGTTGTTTAAATTTTTTATTCACTTGATAAAAAAAAAATATATGTTTAAATTAAATGAAATTATAATGTTGATATAGAGTTCGCCCTGCAATTCGAGACTACCTTAGGAACCAGACACTTTGGGGTTGACTTAGAGGCTTAGCTGTAACTTTCCATACTCATTCTGTAAAAATTGGTTTGTTCAGTACACTTACACTTTTGATTGTGGTGATTTGAAATGGTATTTCGCTGTAGTTAAGTGGTTACTGATGGGGTATCTTTTCGTGGGACTAACGCTTAGGAAGCTTATATAAACTATATACTTTCTGTTGGCCTCGCCTCTTGTTTTTCCCCCAAACTATTTAAATTCTGTTTAATTGTAAGTATCTTGCACCAAGTGAAATAAAGTGAAGATGAAGTGAACTTGAAGTTTGTGTTTAGATTGAAAATTATTATTGTATACTTAAATAAAATTGGCCTCGAATTAGATGACTCGGAATTAGAGTAGTCAAGAATTGGTGGGCGTGAACTGTAAATGGAGTAAAGTATCAAGGCTGTACCAATATAATAAGATGAAAATTCTCCAGTGCCAACACATCGGTACTTGCTGGAATCTGGGCAGTTTTATTGGCCGACATGAACACTATCATTTATCCCTGAATCCTGAAGTCTTTCAAATCAATTTCACTACCGGAGCTTGCCACCAAACGATCACCTCCGTTTTGTTGCATTAAACCAGCTGTAACTACCAAATAGCATCTGTCATTTCATATTTTCCAAAGGGATGACGGCAGTGAGATACGGCTTTAATGATATGGTAACACATTCTATTAAAATCACACATTCAAAAAAAATATTAATTACTTGGATTGAATTAATTAATGAATATGTTTGGCATCGATGGTCACGTGGACAAAAATATCTACAGCCTAGTATAATGTTAAATTTAAAAGATTTAAAGAGTTTTGTGAACCTACTAGATACATGAGATTATTTGTATTTCTGCCTTTTTCTTTAATTTTTTTTAAATATATTTTGTTATTTCTGGTATATTTCATAAAAAAAAACAAATTACATAGCAATGTTACATTACTATAAAAAACCAAAGAAAAAGTAAGCAATTATGGATAGTTACCATACATAAATGGCTATTCAAGAAACAAAATGATTGATGATTCATAATTCTATAAAATGCATAACATAAAAGAAAAATTCAGTATATAGGCCTATCTACATTTTTCTGCACTTTTAACTATTTTTGAATGCAATGTATTGTTCAATTTGTTTATGCTTCTCATATACTGATTTTAAGGGATTTATGTGCGGTTTTTGTCCATTAACTTTACAGTTATAAATGTATAGTTTTGTAATAAATATTAGTTTTGTAATAAATATTAGTTTATTAATTGCATGATTATTTTTATGGCTGTCAATACCAAAACATATGCTTTCTTTATTTAAAGTTAAATTTCTTTCAAACCTTTGTTTTATAACTATTTGTACTTGTTTCCACAGCACATTAATTACTTTGCATTCAAAAAACATGTGTAATAAAGTTTGTTCTTCTTCTAAGCAAAATTCACAATTTGGTGATTCAACAATATATATCTTATGTAGAAAGGAATTCGTATAAATAATACGATGAATAAATCGAAACTGAAAATTTTTAAGTTTTGTATCAATTGTACATTTATGTAACGTTGTGAAGATCATATCCCATTGTAGTTTAGTATTGTCCAGTTCTTTTTTCCACCTGGACTCGATTCCATCCAGCACTGCAGTGTGTTTTTGAATTAAATGTGAATAGAGGTATTTAAAATTTCTTTCATTTTTTAGCACACTATTGATATTTGAATTTTCAATTATTATATTTGATGGATTTATATCTGTGTTCTCAATTATTATTTGCTTCCAGTGCCTTGGAATCGAGTTTACAATTTGATGGTAAAAAAGGAAATTCGGTTTGAAATTATGTCTTTCTTCAAATTCTTTTAAATTACAAATTCGATTACTACTGGTCACAATAATATATTTGATATTTTTGTCCCATTAAAATTTTATTTATAGTGAATTCTACGTTTTCAAAGCAGGAATTGTTCCATAGAGACTGTGATAGTATTTCTCTAACAGATTTCGGTTCTTTAAAAAAACACTCGCTCCAAGCTAATAGAACGTTTTTATTGAAACCCTTGAAATGTTTAATACAAACATATTTAATATTTTATCGATATCCTTATATTTTTGTTGAAAATTTAAATTGAATATATTACCTAAATTACTCGAAACATTAATGCCAAGATATCGTATTTCCTCATTTGTCCATATTATGTTTTTCCGATAGGAATTTTGAAATCAAAATTTCTCAATGAACACAATCTAATTATTTTACTTTTTTCGTAATTTATCTTTAGACCAGAGGCTAAAGCAAACAAATCTAGAATGTCCATGATGGGTTTTATTGAGTTTACATCTTTAATATAAAAAACGGTGTCGTCAGCAAATTGACTTAATTTGATTTGTATGTTATTATAGGATATGCCTTCTACTTCGTCTGTTTGACGAACTGCGTTACCAAGGAACCAAGGCACAGAGTATGAACAAGTACGGCGATAGAGGGCATCCTTGGCGAAAACCCGTTGTTTATAACACAGCTATAAATATCACTATGAAGTAATTTTATCCAATTTATAAAATTATTTTTGAATCCAAATTTTTCTAGTGCATAGTAAACAAAATCCCAATATTTTATCGAATGCCTTTTCGAAATCAACGAAAAAAAGCAAATTAGGCAGATTATTTTTTTCTGCATGTTCGATAATATCAAAAAGCAAATTCATATTCTCACTCTCACTCACTTCCTTAAGGAATCCTGTTTGATCAGTGTTAATAACTGATGGCAGTACTCTTTTTAGCCGTGTCGCAATGGTCTTAGAAAGGATCTTGTAATCGACGTTTAGCAATGAAATTGGACGCCAGTTTTTCAACATTACAGGAGACTTGTCTTTTTTTGGAATTAGTGATATTACAACACGTCTTTGTGAGATAGAGAGATTCTGCTCTAACTTACTTTAATTACATTATTTGTAATTTTGCTCTAACTTACTTAAATTACATATTGAACTTAGACCTATTTCATAAGATAAGATAAGCAAAATAACTTTTATTTTCCTCGCAAAATAAAACAAGGAAATTCATCTTTTATTGACATACAATGCTAACAATAATAAATACTAGTTTAGTAAACATAAACTGAAGCATTTAAATAATAGTTAGGTCTATGAACTTTTTGTAAGTTGTTTAAAGAGGTTTTGAAAGATAATTAGTGTTTGTACGTTAAACATTGGCTTTTAGGTAAATGGAACGTACACAAAAAGTGCGTTTGCTTGGCTTTTAGATGGAATTCATATAATAATGACATTTGCTTGGCTTTT